ATTCTGCGAAACTACAGATAGATCGCAAAGCCCGCAAATGGGAAAAGTATCAGAGGCACGCCGGTGACCGAATAAAAGTGCGGCGAATCAATTGTAATTACGCCGACGGGGAACATGCAAGTCTGTCGCGTGAAACAAGCCACGGGGAAACACAGCTGCACGATATTTCTGTTCTAATTACGGAGCGACCACGAGCAATTTAACGAACGTACATCAGAAGAAAAAAAATGGTTGGCCCCGATAAGACATATCTGACCTGAACACCTATACCAGAACAACTCCAGGCCCGATACCGAAATTACCCAGGCTAATGCGATCACGGTGAAAATTGTAATGCACACCGTTCACTGCAAACTATAAATTTTACGATCCTTCTTTGAAAACAACTTTTTTTGGTTTCTGTGGCATCGGCGGTCATAAAATTCTATGCCTGTCAGGTCGGAGGAAACCGTGAGTTCCTGCGAATTTAGTTCGTCAAGAACGATGCTTCGTAGGAGAAATATTTCATAGACTGTTAAGTTATACGGTAATTCGTGATACGTGGACATTAAATCGATTCGCAAGTAATTTATTTTTCTGTATTTCCTGGTACTATTAGAGACTCTAATGTTTGGAAGTATAATTGAGCGATAAAAACTGTGCTGAATTAGTACTAATTAAAGAGCCAGTGAAACATCTGGGACCACTTAATACAAATAAAACATGCTATCGCTGCGATAATGGTACATCACATGTTGACCATAAACTGTTCCGTGAAAAGTTATGTGAATTCGGTTGAAAAAGTTCACTGCACCCAGCATGCTCCAAAGATACACGGGAGAATAGGGTTTCCCATTATCACGTAGCTGTATCGTCACATCATAAAGATTGTACAGAATAAATATGGGGAATAGCCAGAAAGTACGTTTCACAGATTGGTATAACTGTTAGTACAAAAACTAATGTATATAAACAAATATTGCACTAAAACAAATAGATGAATTCACATTGTGATTACTCAATATTACTATTACAATATTACTATTTTAACTTTAAGGACAAATTAAATTCACAGAAACAATGAACAAAATGGATAAAGGATAACTTTTCTATTTAACTTTTTGCATTCTTCTACTTAATATTAATATCCAGGTCCATTTGGACCAATTAACGTATTTCTAAATGCATTTCTAGAACACATTGATCAAGTGTAAAAGGTTCAATAAGACACTTTTCTAAGAAGGCTAACTTACTTCTAAAAGAATTTACTTAAATAAAAATAAATTTAATTATTGCACAGTATGTATCATATGCACTTTTTTCCCCTAAAATTATACCTACATATATGTTCTGAAACGCTGTATATAGATCTAAATCCTGTATATAAAATCTCAGAGAAGCTACGAGACTAGAAATATGCGTCGAATAGAGTAATTTTCTACATTTTGGATCTAGATCGCCTGTTTTGTCAGTCTGTACGCATCGGTTCAACGTCGTCAACATCTGGGAATAAGCGTCTTGCGTACCGAATTCAATTACCAATGACACGAGTGCTCACCGGGAAGACACTGATGACGACAGCATCGAACAACCACACACATCCGGACGGTTTGGTGACAACTATACTAATAAATACGCGGCCCACGAATAACGATCTATACACCTCGTCTCCATACGCTAATAATGAGGAAGCAAATAGGACGGGGGCTCTTATGGATTTTGACACACCGAAGGTCATGGTGTTCCCTTTTTATTTCCTTACTTATATTCTACTTGGCCTTTAATTCTGACTTAATTGTACTCTAAATAATGTAAAATGATATTGATTTGTAAACACGGTAGAAAACGAAAGAACTTTGACATTTAATTCAAACATAACAATTCTATGCCCGACTTTTATTAAATGAAAGCTAAATGTGTATTACGTGGAGAGAGAATTAAACTGCTTAATGAATTACTAATCACGCATCTTTTTTTTCATCAAGGATAATCTACCACACATCTGATGATGTAAAATAGTCAATCACAATCAATGTACACGTACTTTTCAATCGCACGTTAAGACTCAAATGATCAATACGCGTACAGGATCTCAAACTGTACTAGATAAATCCACCCTGTCTTGGGTAAAATTTAATATTAACTTAACGTTAACTTAATCATTTAAGCTTTACATTAACATGACAGAATATTAGTTGCAAAATTCACGCATCCATTTATAAAACCTACAATTAGTAAGCGATTAATATCAATAATAGTGAGCTAATTAAATGAAAATCAAGACTACTGCTGAAATATATCCGAAACTATTATTTCGATTCACACGTGACTACATTCCAAATAAATATTTCCTATATACTTATATCTATCACGAACATTTAAATAAATCGTCAAAAACTACTTCATTTAAAAAATGACTTTTTCAATAAAAATATTATCACTTGAAATTGAAATCCACCGAATAACGCATTTGCAACACTAACGGCCACCATATCAGCTGCCACGTGACAATGACACAAAAATCCACAGTTAGCGCACCGCATTTAAATTAATTCTAATTTTTACCCGCATCGCAGCAAACATATCTGTAGCCGGTAAGCGATTAACCTGTCAACGAATTAACTGTATACCTGCATCACTCCGGAGGGGTCATAACACTGCCCACCACGCGGCCAATAACAAGATCCCTTAAAATTACCAACGCAAGGTCAGAGTTTAAGCGTGAACAGACTGTGTTTCCAAGCTTAACCGATAAAAAGAGCAGAATATGTACTTATATTTACAAACGTTCCGGTCGCTAATTTACATGACATCAGTCGACAGAAAAACAACTATCTGTTCCTTCTTGCTCGCAACCTCGTTTTTTCTTTCCTATCCGTACATCGCGTGTGGCGTTTCTTGAAGAGACAACGCTACACGCGAACCAGGCCACAAAACGTAACGAAAAGAAAAAACGAAAGAGATGAAGGAAATAATCATGAAAACGTGTACCGCGAACGTAACGCGAAACCGTAATTAGTTTCAGAACGACGAGGAGCCGTTAATCGTGGCTGAACGGTTTTTCAAGCCCGCATGATCGAAATGATAACGGAACGTTTTTTCTTTGGCGACACCATGTGAATACGATCGGCCAGAGATCGATGATTTTTCGCACGGCAACACAGGCCCAGCCAGAATTGCACGCGAAACGCGACCCACTTGCTTTCACAGGCTTTTTTCCTCTGTTAAGCAATACGCTCGTGTACGATTCGTCCGCGTGATCGTGGTCAGCGTGTGTGTATTTTCGATGAAAGTGAAAGAATCGGGATCAACGACCCGTTGTTCCACGTTCGGGGAGAAATTCACGAGCGAACCGTTCCCGTTAAAACGTCGTTTAACGGGTCGCGTCAAAACCGGACCCGGGGCGAAGAAAAGGAACACGCGGTTGAATTGCCACAAACGCAGAGAGAAGTTTCACGAGGTGAAAGTCGCCAGGAACACGAGGACGCGGATGTCAGCTGACAGAAACAAAAGGCCGCGAGAAAGAGGGCGAGCAATCGGTCGCCGGCCGAGAACCGATGATACGGAGCAACCGGAGACACAAACCAACGATATGACACTGAGATTATTACGGGCAATGGTACTCGTAAGACTTGATCCCAAGATCAAAGGCTATTTTTTTTTTTTTTAAAGTTCGAAACGATGATATTTGAACACGCTTACCTGTCCAGTAACGCGGTGTCGCAAGCTCCCTCGTTGTCAACGAAATTCCAGCAATCTGCCGGTGTATGACACACGAATGTCACCCGACTTTGACACACGGATATACGCGAAACGACTATGTTTTGCCAGTGCTTCGCGGCATGTTCTTCCGGCACGAGGTCTTCGGCGAAGTCAGACGAACGTTGACATGTGTGGGACAGAGAACACACGGCACCCGCGCACCAACAATTCCGAAATAAATTGTCAGAAGAACAAGACCGAAACTGACGTACCGAGCTACCACCGATCGTCCTAACCACTACAGGCCAAGTGTAGCACCGCACTGACTGCTCTCGCCGTTCACCAAGGCGATAAACAAACGCGTCGCCTCTCCCTCACGAGTCTGCCCTCCTTCTCGCTATCGGTTGTCCTTTTCCCTATCGCGATTTCCCGTCTTTCTTCCACGGACAAACACCGACTACGCTTGAACGAATTGTCTGTTTCTGTCTTGCGGACGCGCTCGTGGTGTCGTGTCATCTCACTCTCGTTGCCCCCTCTCCGTGCCACTGGCCTAACCTTATCCTTGTTACTCGCCCTCTCTCTCTCTCTCTGTTTCCTTCTTTTACTGATTCTCCCTGCAGTGCTGCCACCAACCAACTTCCCCCACTATCGTTTAGCAGACTGCTCGCAACCCTGTCACCTGGCGTTCTCGATTTTCTGACATTTCACAGACACCTTGTTCAAACTAAACAATAACTCGTCTTCGGAACTGTTCTCGCTGTCGTGGAAACCGAATGTCACTCGCGGAAAATCAAACTGAGACGTGTTTACCCTTAGTTTACGAAGCGACAACGCAGCGTGCGACATGTTTTGACTCACTGACGTTCCGTACTGCTTTGCGGTACTCCATTCGAGTCGCTAGCGCTACCTTCTGTCAACGAGCGGAAACATCGTGTTTTTCTCACATACAGTTATGTTGCACTTTTTAAAATAATAACCGTTGATGTTTATTGGAAACACTAATGTTTAATATGCATTAAAGAAAAGATTTAATATTATTTGAAATACTGAATGAAGATTTGTACCAACTTTCGATGTTATGTACTTCTTACATTATCCGAAAGAATGTTGTTCAATAATGTAATTGCGTTATTTGAAATATAAAAGTTAGATCAAACTGATGTCTCGATGCTATGTACAATTTTTATCTATAAATCTAGTTTCGATTATTTCACAGTTACTGTCTGCAAATAAATGAAACTTCTGAAGATAAATGGAACAGAGACATAGATGTCTGTAGTGTCGAAACTGAAACGATGTAACTCTCTATTCGGCCGCCGCTGTTGATAGTCACGTAGCGGTAGTATCTCTCTTCCATTTTGGTTTATGCCTTTTCCGGTACACTAGCCATCATGGTTCGTAGATTTTAATATTTTTTAGTAATAATCAACAAAAATCTTAGCAATCCATTGTTAAATATAAAAACTAATAACTTAGCAATATTTCGATAAATATACTGAATACCAAAATGGGAATATTACCTATTTAAAAGTGATATAATTGTTAACTGAATGTAGTTTTACTAGTTGAGGTTATGTGCAAGTGTTGCCAGTGTTTCTTAATTTTTTCGTGCATATGGATGAGTGAAAAATACGATTAATGCGAAATGAAATTTGTGAGTATAGAGAAAAAATGATTTATGATTACAGAGTCGCGTTAGGACAAAGACGGTCAAGAAGGCCGCGAAACTCATCATCGAGAAATACTATACTCGATTGACTATGGATTTCCATACAAATAAGAGGATATGCGAAGAAATTGCTATTATTCCTAGCAAATCTCTACGCAACAAAATTGCTGGGTACGTATTCTTTAAAAATACATGCTAATTTAATATACAAATGCTTTGTTTTTATACTTGTTTGAAGGGATAGGACAAAGTTGTAAAATTTACAGTACAAACAACTTGTTTCACGCCTTGAAACAAAATTCTTAAATTGAACATCTTAACTTTGATAAATTTACCATTAATTTAACAATAAAAATTGGTTCTTAAAATGGGCTCTTAATTATGACTTTCTTAGTTTAACTTAAAAGTTGTTTAGTTTCATCACTATTTACTTGTATGACTTGAATAATTAATTTACAACTTGTCATATCTTTTCCAACAAAAATATATAATATACATACTAAAAAAAATTAATCATTTAAATACTATTTACTTATTCAACAGATTTGTTACACATTTGATGAAACGTCTAAGGCATAGCCAAGTTCGTGGCATCTCCATCAAACTGCAGGAAGAAGAGAGGGAACGTAGAGACAACTATGTTCCTGAAGTCTCTGCCCTGGAGCATGATATCATTGAAGTTGACCCAGAAACTAAGGAAATGTTACAGATGCTTGGATTCAACAATATTCCTGGACTCCAACTCACACAATCTCAATTACCACCATATAGCAGACGTTCTTAAATTTTCTTTGTATTAAATAAGTTTGTTAGTGTTGCACTTTTTAATAAAATTGCAAGCTGACATTCTGAAGGAATCATGTTTTGTAACCATTTTTATCATGCTACAATGATTTTTACACCATTGTATCATTCCTTGATATATAGTACCTTTTTTTACAGTATCAAAACAATTCAAAACAGCGTATGTTTATAATAAATTGTTTATATATTCAGACTCTAATATTTTCGAGCATACTATTGGAAAATTTTACGGGCGTTATAAAGATAGGTTAAAATCAATATACGCATGCGTGAAAGTCAGCCATCTAATCGAAACGAAAAATTGACTTTCATTTTACGCAATACCTTTAGTTTATTTCAATAGCAAGTGATTCGTATCGAAATATTGTTAACTATTTTAGCTTCCACAGTACAGTGTGCGTGTATTGTGTTAACTTTGAGCTCTATACAAATTTGTAGTATGAAACTGCTAAGTAGGTTTGATTAGACCTTGCTCCAATATGGGCTACTATTTCCAACACTCCTCAATTACAGGCGGATACTATTTTTTCGTCTAACAAATTCCGCGATTGTATTTTCCTTTTTGCATTTCTTTCGAGGGAATTAGCCCCTGGTTTCTTCGCTCGAAACGTCAGAGCGTCGCAATATTATTCCTCACAAATATCGAATTTATCGTCGATACACTTTCTAGCGGCTCAAATGTCGAGAAGGCACACGACACCGTGTCGAATAGATTTTGCAACCTGAAATATTTTGCAAGAGACAATGTTCGATACGCCCGTGTGTGCATTATTGGTGAAACGCGTCGCCCTTCCGTGGCGCCCACACGATTGGGTCGGACCTGGCTACTTGTTCAGAGGCTGCGCGACCTAGCACGATCCACGGCCTAGTACAACCTGAACGACGGAGCGAGGATTGGACGAAAGAGGTAGAGAAACGGAGAGAGTAGCTGTAATCGCACGCCTGCGAATGTTGGAACTCTCGGGAGCAGGGAGGAGAGACTGTACAACCGGCGAGTCAGTCGACTATTAGTGGTCTGTGACTCTGGAGGTAGCCCGACCACCGCAGAACCGAGCCCGACGCAGCTCGGTTGCGTTCGGTCGGTAGTCGGGGCCAGTCGGGCGCTCCACTGCTCTTTTCGGTCTGCTCGTTTTCCTCAGTCCGTCGTCGTTGCGCATCGAGATCAGTTGCATCCTTTCTTTTTCGTTAAAGGGACCGAATAGTACCCTTTCCGCGCTATGTGACGGATATTACGGGGCGCCGAGCGTACCCCGACTTTTCTGTATCATTCCCACCCTGTCCTCTGTCTGCCACTACTCTCCTTTGCCTACAACGAGAGAGAACGAGAGAAAGAGAGAGATAAAGAGAGAGTGAGTGAGTGAGAGGGAGTAAGAACACACGTTGTAAACGCAGGCACGTACATACGCAGGCACTCGCCGACGAAGGGGCCACGAGGGCCCCGTGGAATTGTGCCTAGGAAAACATGGAGTGTCCACATCTTGCTCAAAGCGTCCAATTCGGCGGTAACGACGTAGAAGCAAGCTGTACGAAGGATCTACCGTTCGTCTGTGCAGGTAGGACCCTGATACAAAAGCCCCCAAGAACCCACTATCCTTCCAGCAGCGTTTGAAAGAGGTGTTTGTATCTGAAGGCCTGAACCCTGCACCTCTTTCTCTCTGTGTTCCACACGGACTATCCCCGATCCTTTCTTTCGCAGGTTCACTACTATTATGCACGTCGTTCTTGCTCCGTTCGATCTCAATCTTTCCTTCGCCTCCTATTGTCTCCCCATTTTCTTTATTCTCATTTCTTTTACGTTCTTTATCCGTTCTCGGTCTCGGTTCCTCTCGTTGCTCTTTCCCTACCTCTTTCTCTCTTTACCTCTCGTGACCGAGGCCCCGGCCGTTCCTCTCGCGGCCTTGAGCCGTTGTACCCGACAAGACGTAGCGAAACCATTTCTATTTTCCTTCTAAAAAGAACTAATGCATGTGTCTGATAAAACAAACCCAACCGATACTATACTTCCTGCTCCTTTTACTTTGTCCTCCGCTGACTAGATACACTCTATTGACAATACTTCGTCATGGACGCACGACCGTACGTACCCGTTCGTATGTATCGCGGATCGAACTCATCATGCTCATCATACGTGTCTCTCTTTGCGATATATACGCGAGTGTGTATATACGTTTGCCGACGTGCATGTGTGTAAGTACTAGACAAGCGTCGTATGCACGTGTGTGCGTGCTGTACGTTCGTGCACACGGGTGTAGATGTGAAAAGTCCACTCCTTAACACATACGTATATCTCTCTGTGCAATATAAGTTCGTGTCTGTGTACTCCGTTCATGGGTGTTCCTCTACGGACCGAACAAGAGCCGTCGTGGACGTGCGCGTGTGCATCGTCCTGCTGGGAGTTCTCAGTATGCGGCGCGGTCGTCATTGGAAAATCAATACCAGACGGCACTAATCAGCTGGCCTGAGATCTGTCATTAGAACTCGCCAGATAAACGTGCTCATCGTTCCCGATTCATTCAAGTTTTCTCATTTTTTCTTGATTTTATCCACTTTCGTCCGCCCAACATAACATATCGCCTCGAGATTTCTCGAGAGACAGAGAGAAGCATCGTCCGACAGACGCGGTTCGAAAAATCAATGAGAGAACGTCAGCCTCGTAGGTAGTTTTTCCCTTATTCCGAACGCTGCTTTCTCCTCCTCCGCGAATCGTCTTTGTCCTTTCTCTTTGCCCGACCTCTAGTACTATATTTACCCGAAATATGCGCAATACTTTTATTGCTCCCTTTTAAACCCCTCCGTTTTCTCCTCGTCTCTGCCTGCCACCAAGATTGCATTGGCCAAATTCGTAAACCGAACGTTTAAAAATTCAACCGTTCGTTTCGTTCAGTTTCATGATTGATAACCCGCGGACGACTGCCAACGTCTTTTCCTTTTTACCGATCTCTTATTATGGCAGAGCCGCGAGAAAGAAGCGTTTTACAATCGACAACGATCGCGGACGGGTTTCGTGAAAACTGGTGATTCGAGTCATTTAATCGTAACAAGTTCCCCGAAGAGTCCGATCGAGTTACGTAAATAAGAAACGTGCAGGATCCTTTCGCAGTTGATTCTTCAACGTGTCGGCCCTTCGTAATATCGGAGCCCAACGCGTTTCGCAGATACGTGTCCATTTAACTCAACGTGTCGGTGAGGGGAGTGAAAGAGAAAAGGGTTTAAAGGTGGGGGACAGTTAGGGGGGAGCCAGACAAATAGTCGAGGAGAGAGTCGTAGAACATTTCCAGAGGTGTATATACTATCGGCGATGAGTCAGACGGGAAGATTTTTTTTGCAGACGTACGATTGCTCAACTCGTTTGCGAGTTGCCGCCCCGCGGTTTCCCTGGTTTCTCGTGTCGGATGGGCCATAGGCTAGATACGCACGATTTTGGTTGTCGCAGGTCACTATTCCCACGAGATCGTTCACGCTCGACGAATCGCAACGTATCCAGGTTGGCAAGATCAATTTAAATATCCCCTTGATCTCTCTCGGCGAGAGCTGTGCGATGCTGGGTAAGAATTACCAAGCTGCTGGTACGAGAGTAGCGCAGTAGAAAAATCGTCCCTCGTGGGCTCTAAAAGAACCCCATGTTCCACACCTTTCCCCCTCCCTCTCCCCACACCCCTCTTCTGCCTCTTTTCCTGCGCTGCAAGCTGGTTCGGGTACGACGTTGCAAAATCGATAACGGCGTCGTTGCTAATCGGATGCCTCGATACGAGTTGCCCCTGGCCTCGGACGACGAATTTTTCATCCGTTCTTTTTCGCAACGAGCCCACGGACATCCCTCACTGCTGGTGTCCTCCCCATGGCCACCATATCCTCCCCGTGTCACGCTAGTTCGCTACGTGTGGCAATGAACGATATTCTGCGACGCAAAAGCCCAGTAGGCGTGGCGAATCGAATCGTTCCCCTCCGTTACCAAGGCGAAAAGGGACGGGAAAAGATGACCAAAGGAGACGAACAGAGACAAGCGCGTGTACTCGTCGATCACTCGTAAATTCTCCTTTGCTTTCACACGGATTTAACGGATGCATCGGCAATAATCTCGATCAACGATCGGGTTCTTCCAGAGAATGCAAATATTCGAGACCTCCTTCGTACCTGCACGCATGTCAACGATTTATCGTGCGGCCGCGTAACGGAGCAGCAGGACCGATCTGGTCTTCCAAGAATACATCGAGACGCATCGTTTTCACGTTACGGTCCAAATTATCGATGTTTTTTCGTGTATTCCCGGCCTAAATATAGCTTTTGATCCTTACTAAATTCTAATACTGTACTGTATGTGTGTGGGTATTTCATGGGAAATAGAATTGTAAACTGCACCGTTTCTTAACGGCTCGCGATCGGAAAATAAACGCGTATCCACCTCGAAACGAGCTTCTAGCAGGATCGGATTACAGACCGCGCGAACCGACGTCTCAATTTTCATCTAGTCGCGCCTTTTTTCTGAAGAAATTTCGCGAGTTATTAATAATTCTCGTAGTATTCAAAACGACTTCTACGAAAATCTACTGATAAACGTCTTGTTTATTGAATTTGACTGGAATAAGATCAATTTATTTAGGGGGACTACGAATCCCAACGATTAAAACGCAGAGGTCAGTTAAAAGAGCAAAAAGAAACTGGCATGCAAAATCTCAAACTCGATAGAACTGCGAGACATTGCGCGATCGATCGACTGCGAAGGGGGTGTGTCGAACAGCCTTCCATCCATTCACCCTGGTTTTACGCGTTCTCCCGAGAATTACGTAAGCCGAGACGAGCCAAAAAGATGGTGCACCAACGTGGAACTTATATATATATATTTCGTAACAAGCGAACATCTTTCGAGTCGTACTAGGCGATCAAAGAGGAATCGAGTACCTAATTGTATCTTTCGTTACACGAATTTACTAACTGTTTCACAGTTAGACAAAATTCTACCATTTAAACAACTCCTAGAACGAACATGCATGGGATATATGTATTCATTAAAGTCTTTAAAGCCCTAATGTCTTATGGATAAGGGTGGTATTGCCAATTTTTCCTACTTTACTCCATGTAAGGAATATGTAATAGCTTGGATGCAGTTTAATTCCTTCGAGATTCTGATGTATATCCTTTTTGACCTTGGAGGACTCGTCCGATTCCGTTCACCGATGTTTTTCTGTTATTAAAGCAAATTCATTGTTGTTTACAGTATGCGGAACCGAGAAGAGTACTTGGTTGTGCCTCTACTGCGGAGCGGTCCACTGCGGACGATACGTGTCCGGCCACGCGTTGCAGCATCACGAGCAGAATAGTCAACACTGTGTTTGCATCGACTGCGAGAATCTAGCAGTATTCTGGTCAGTGCTTCTTTTCAGACTGATACTCCGCTTTTTAAAAGGAAAACAAAAAAAAAATGGACAGGAATTTTGAAAGAAATATTTGATTTTCAGTTACATGTGCGACGAGTACGTCGTGAACGACACGACGAATGGCCAGATCGAGAAGATCCGTCGCATCACCTTCCGGAAGGATGAACACAAGGAAAACGAGGAGAACTGGAACACGTCACCGCCTACGACGCCGTCCTCGAGGAGAGAGAACAGCGACAACGACACCGATGCGGACGCTCTATGGAAAGCGGAAGTGGTCGTGCGGAACCTTCGACCGAGAACGGCGCGGAAGAGGCTACACTCGTTGGACGGCACGAGTGGGGACAATCGGCCGGCGACCAAACGTAGAAGCTCCAAGATAACCAAAGAGAAGAAGGTCGTCGGCCTAAGGAATCTCGGGAACACGTGTTTCATGAACGTCGTGTTGCAGTCGTTCAACAACATCAGTCACTTCTGCGAGTATCTCACGCAGATGCCGTGTCTCGAGGGTATACCGTTCGACGAGTCGCCGACGCACAGGGGGCGAATTGTCACGCCTGGTCGGGCGAAAGAGCTAAGCATGAGCGACGCCCTTCTGGCCGAGGAGCTCAGGAAGGTTCTGCTTGGCCTGAATTTGGGCGGTTCGAACGGCCAGGCGATCTCGCCGGAATGTCTTTTCCTCGTAATATGGAAAGTCGTGCCGCGATTTCGTGGTTACCAACAGCAAGACGCCCATGAGTTTCTCACCTATATGCTGGACAGACTGCACACGGAACTGTTGCAATTGCTGCCCCGACTGGGACACGAGCCACTCGGTCTACGTGGCAAGCAAAGCATCGTCACAGCTGTGTTCGGGGGCACTCTTCTTAGCGTGGTAAGTCCACCGTAAGTTTCTTCAGGGGAAACATCGATGTGTGTTGATGTAATATATTAACCGGTTATACGTTTCGTTGATTCTGACGCGGAATGACGGGGGCAAAAAAAAAAAAAGAGTGTTTTTTTTCTGAGTGGACATTCTGTTGGAAAGTCATTTTATTCATTTTCTTCTTGGGAGAAGCGCGGACGAATTATGGATCGCGTTTCCTCGCGCAGGTCCATTGCATGAACTGCCGTACAGATTCCAAGACGCACGAGCCCTTCCAGGATCTCTCATTGGATATACCGGACAGACTGCAAAGACGAACGAAAGAACAGGAAGAGGTCTGTAGTCTCACCTACAGCCTGACGAGATTTTTCAAAGTCGAGGAGTTGGCTGATAGCGAACTCTACTTCTGCGACAATTGCATGGGAAAGCAAAGGTCCACCAAGAGGTTCTGGATACACAGGCTGCCTAATGTTAGCATCGATCACAATTTCTTCGAAATCATTGGATAATATTTGCTAGCACTGTTCAATTTCTGACTAACCCGGAACACTTTTCGGTTTCAGGTGTTGTGCCTTCACATTAAAAGATTTAGGTGGTGCAATTCTTATCGTTCGAAGGTGGATACGCAAGTGGATTTCCCCATGAAATCGCTCGACATGTCTGCATTTACGGTACGCGGCGTCAGTGGGACGAAGTTGGGCGGGTCGAATAGTCACCTGTACGACTTGGCTGCCGTTATCGTGCACCATGGTTCAGGGTATGTCTTATCATATTTACCCTCGACTGGTGGAGTGAAAATCTAAACGCTTCACATTCATCTTTTTCAACATACATTTAAATTACAGTAATTTTGCAGTATGTACAGTTGCATTTCTAATTAGTACAGCGTATCATCCTACCAGTTGAGGTGTGGGTAGTTTATTAAATATCATAAAAGTATGAAGAATTAATATAAAGTTTAAACGCTACTCTGACATCCGAAATTATTTATTTTAGTGCCGGAACTGGACACTACACTGCCTTCGCCGTTCACGACGGACAATGGTTTCACTTTAACGATAGCTCAGTACGACCAGCGACCACGGACGCAGTCGCCAAATGTAAACCTTATATTCTGTTCTACGTGCGGAAAGAGTTCTCCATTCCACCCCCTTTGTGACGTCGTTTCCCCGGCCAATCCCGTCCCGACGGCGCGAGCTTCGACGACGACGACGACGACGACGACGACCAAACGAATAAGAAGTAAGCGAAATTCGACTGCGAAGCTGAGGCGGTGCATACACAGTAAACGGCCAAAAACAGAAGAATCACAAGACTCACGCTGTTTCAAGGTTTCTAAAAGAGGAACGGGGAGATCTTCGCCCACTTTCCTACCCCTCCCGCAAAAAAGAATCATCGTTTAGCATGGTTAAGTAGTTTACTCTCATACAGAAGTTCTATCGCGTACCCAATTGAGCCATAAAGCATGAATTTCGCCAATCAGTTCTCTGTCGGAGGTTCAATTTCGACATCGCTCGACATCGTAGAGCAACTTGCCACATACGTGTGAAAGCCATTGGCACGATGCACGAGCGTGACAGCCGAAAACCGATCCGAGTCCACTTCTCCCCCGTCCCCTCCCACCCCCGTCGTTCGAAGCGAAACAAAGCCTTTATTGTCCGCGAATGGGCGACTAGTAATTTCATTTAATATTCCATCCTATTGATTTTACACCCCCGTAACTTACGAGAGCTTACCCGGTCTCCTGGTAAATTCGAATGCAGCCCCTTCCATGGTAGGCAAAAACACAATTAGCTCGTGATGAATACCGATCGACCGTTTCCGTGAACATGTAGGGGCATAAACCACGGGGCCGAGCTTCCTTTCCTTTTTTAGAAACGGAGGAGAGAAGAAAAGAAAAATGAGTAACTCGAGGCGTATCGCGGAAACGCGTTGCCTTTAGCGTTGGATTTTCTTTGTGCTCCTTTTCGCCGGTGGTCGTTGACCACCTACTCCCTTCGGCGAATCGATTGAACCTCCTCCCGGCCGTGTAGCGGAATAACTCGTAACGCGTAACCTCGTCTAGTTTTAACGCGAAAACGACTGGTCTTCTCGGTAGATAGATTTTTTCTAGGCTTAGCGCGGCATCGTTGTTTCGAGGGAGCTGATGAACGAAAAGATACCATGTATGTAGAGCCAGCCCGATTCTGTTTGTTCCGAAAGAGAACGAAAGAAACAATGCGGAAATGTGTGACCCTCATCGTAAAACTTGGGATACTTAAACAAGAAAGAGAGGAAATAGTACCGAGATGTATTACACCTATCACGGAAATCCACGTCTCACATTAACGCAGGATCATTTACATGGTGTGTGTGTGTGTGTGTGTGTGTGTGTCGGCAATATACACGTATGCATGCATGTAATATGTATAGAAACACGTTCTCTCTTTTTCCGCTCCCCCCTCCCTTCCCTTCCCCTGCCCACGATCCCTCACTTAACCCACGGTTCTCGAAGGCTCGACGACTCTTATGTGATTATTTAAAGACTTATTTTTTCTATAATGGTAAACGATAATAACGACGATAAGTTAACAAAGCGTAGCGAAGAAACGTTTTATTAAGGCGATAAACACTCGATAATGCGCATCTTCGGCAAAAGACTCACTCGTATGACGAATAAGACAAAAAAAAAATGATGGAAGTAAGCGTGTAACACTATTATTGAGAATAAGTGAGAATATGTACGAACGACGTATAAATAAAGAACACGAACGACGACATACGGTTTATTCATCGCAACTATGATATTCTTGGTCCTTTAACGCGGACCTATGATTTCGTTACAAAAGAGAGAAACGTGTTACCTTAACAGAATAATTAAACTAAAATCCATAATTTTACAAATATACACTTTCGAGTAGTCTTCTTGGTAACATAACTAAATTCGAAGTTCGATTTTGCCTAGTTATCTACAGAAAATAAAACAATCTCGACATCGCCGATCGAGCGTTTATACAAAATTATCATCCCTTCCTTATTCTCGATGAAAAACGAGATTTCCTTTTTATCGACAGCGAGCTAGTCGCGCGACTTATCCGCGATCGGTTCTTGGGAATGGGTATGATCATCCGGTAAAATCGCAAGCAAAGACATCCTCTATTCGCGTTCTTCTTTCTCGTGCTGCTTTCGAGCTTTTGTTTTTTAATCTGTTCCTTGGGAACATTTTCGTCAGACACTTTAGCCATCACAGCCAAAGTGCTACCTCGAAACCTCACTTTATTTCTCTTTCTCCCCGAAGAAACATCCTTTCTCGGTTCTTCTTCCGGAAGTAACTCTCTCCCGGACGTATCCGGTGTCGTCTGCGAGCTCTTAACGAAGAACACAGAATAAGGATCTCTAAGAGTCTTCTCCTCCGTTTTCTTCGGCGTTTCCACAATCTGATGTTCGTCTTTGCGACTGGAATTGGGATTCTTGATCTTCTGAACCCATAAATCCTGGTGATCAGATCGTCTACTGGAATCAACACTCGGTAACGTATCTTTGGGACTTTTACTTTTGCTACAGGGAGACTTTTCAGTAATCGTCGACGATTTTTCGTCCGGCGATTCTTTGTTGATCCTTGGTTTTTCTAACAAATTCTGATACATTTTAAATTCCTTTAACAAAGACGATTCCGAACAGCTATCTCCCACGGAATCACCATGATAATCACGGTTCTCGTACAAAACGCTTGTCATATTTGCATTCGATCCAGTGTCCCCTTCCCGTTTCTTCGATTTCTTTAATCTGGCCGAGAATCGTTGCATGAGTCCTCTCATTCCCGATTTCGTTGGCTGTTCCTCGATGTAAGATACGTAATCGATGATCCCCGCTGGTGTATCCTCGAACCCACCACCAGCCAGCCTGGTGATACTCGGATGCAGGTCCAGTTTGTATGTTCTCTCCAGAGAATTCGATTCCTCGTCCATGTTTCCAAGACGTCCAGGATGTTTGTACGAAGCCGTGCTTGGTTTCTCGGAAATCGTGAAAGGAAATCGGTCTTGGCTCTTCCTCCAGTACCTTGAAGAATCGTCAGGATGACGCAGCTTCGATGTGGACGCGTACTGGACACCAGAAAATGAAGGTAAGTCGTGGCATCTCTCCGAAAAGAACGTTGATGTATCAGACTGGATTGCTTTCGCATGTTCCGCGTAGATGTTCTTGCGAAATTGGTCCGCCACCAATCGTTCCAACGAAACTCGAATCCTTTCCTGACCGTCTTCTGGCGAGGAATCTGAAGACTCGAAACACGATTTCTTGGAATTTTCTAGACACATATCCTGACCGTCTCCAACTTGCTCCGCGAGCAAACCTGGCTTGGTACTCTCTGTAAATCTGTCAGAGACTTCTCCCTCGTAGATGGACTCTAGCAAATTCATCTGGCAACTGATGGGGAACGTTGTAGAATCATTGAATTGAATTTTCTTCATTAAACTATCGGAATCTTCAGGATGCTTTGACAGAGATTGACACTTCTCGTAACAATGTGAGGCTTCTGCACAATCGTTTGTCGGTTCCCTATTTGATAGAGGACTGTCTGTTCCGTCATCATCTTTTTTCTGCTCATTCTGATCGTCGGAAGAATTCGACGACCTGAAAGTTTCACCATCGGATTGGTTAATCGAGGACTCGTCGCTGAGACTGGAATGGCGTGTCACATTCTGCGTTTCTTCCATGCTTTCGACCCGGTCACTACTGTTTATATTTTGTAAGAAAGATGAGCTATTCGTCGGTCGAATGTCCTTCTCTAGTGAACTCGAGTTCTCAGATTCAATGTGATCCTGTGAACTATTCTTTACCAGTCTCGAATCGGAACCCACCTTCTGTTCCTTAAAATTCATCCCCTTCGATGAATCAGACGTCTCCCTGACAGTTTCCCTAAAATGTTTCACTGGTGATAAACCTCCATATGATTCCTGATAAGGACGGTTGCTCTCGAGATCCTCACAATCGGACATCAGAAATTCCTTCCGATAAGTCTGTCTGCCCAATTCAATCGAAACGGTACTGGAATTAGTTTGTTCTCTCTGTGTGCTGGATATTATCTTACTGTTGGAGACGTTTAAGGGTGTCTGCGATTTCCTGCTGAATGTTCCACACACTTCGAGATTTTCGTTAGACCTCAATGTCGTATTTAAACTATTCTCTGTTTCGATATTTTCGGACAATGAGCTACCAGACACCCTGCGTGGATCCTTTACGTGTTTCAAGGACGCGTTCGACAGCGCTTCGATCAAATCATTTGCGTTTAGACGTTTCTTCGAAAGAGTCTTACTGATAGGTGACACAGACGAAGACATCTCTTGTGAGTTTAGAGCGAGTTCGGGAACATTCGAATACTCTTCTTGGAAATCCTGATTTTTTGTCTCGACAAATAGCTCCTGATTGCTCCCGATAGATACTCGAGGAAATACGTTTCTCTTTTCATCGAATTTTTCGCTGGAAAATTCTTTTAACGAAGCAACGCTGCGTCTATCGCTCGGGCAAGATTTCGATTGCGGAGAAGAAGCTTTCTTTGCTTCTACGTGGATTATCCTTGTCGACGAGGGAACCTTCGTTTCTCGGTTACCACTCCGAACCAGGAAACATTTGGATGCAGATGCTTTGAGCATTTCAGAGTCCACGGTTTCTTGATTATGCGGTGATTCCTGAGAGTTCCGAAACATTGACTCCCGGAAGATAGTTTTTGAAGCCTGCAAGCTTCCTTTACCAGAAGGAAAACCTTCCGAAAGCTTAGCCTGATCTACATTCGTACTCAAGTTCGAATAAAAAGAATTATCGAGGAGTTCCTTCGACGTTGAAATCTCTTGATACCTTCGTGCCGATTCTACGTCACAGTGTTCTTTCTCGAATTTATAATTGGTATGTTCAAGTGCCTCTATCTTTGGTGTTCTGGAAACAGTGCCACGGTAGATCCGTCTTGTAAATGACGGTAAAGGTTCTAAACGCTTATCATAACTATCGGTATTCTCCCTTGCAGAGTGAAATTTTAGTTGATTGGTGCATTTGTCAAGACTATCCTTCATAACGCCATAATCGCTCCTTGGAGTACTATTGTGCCTATAAAAAGTACTCTCCCATGGTATCATTCTCGAAGAAGACAGGGGTGTCAGATTCTGGTCGTTGCTTTTAACAGAAAGGGGTAATTCGGTACCAGTACTAATTTTTGAAACAGGAGTACCGATATCACTTCTAAGTTCATCGTTCCTCGAAGGCACGTCGTTCGGATTATTTAGATTATCTCGGGATATCTTCGAGGTCAGAACGCTTCTGCTGGTCGGAATCAACTCTGACCGATCGATTTTTGACGGAAAATCGTATCTATTCGTCGGGTTCTCATAGTCAGAACTTGGTTCACTGCCAGATGTAAGATTATGTAGAATTACTCCAGCGTAGGGCCTATATCCACCGAATTTCTTTGGTCGAATGCTATCCAACGAAACCGGAGAAAGTGGCTGTAACTTGACTCGATCTTTCGGCGTGCTTTCAGACGACGCGTTCGAGAAGATTCGAAGCAACGAGGGACTTCTTTGTGGTACGGAGGAGTTGCTAATGTTATACTGACTACGACACGAACTAAGGTTAGCAGGACTTCTTGGCAATGGTGAACATTGTTGAGGATCGTCCCTGGCACTTTCAACCGTGGAAGGTTGGTGTTCGCTTGTTCTACTCATAATCTTACTGTTAGAATCACTTTTCAATTCGCAACTATTAGCTCCGCTCGGTTGAGAAACAACCATCGCCTGACTCTGTATGGCCTCCAATCGAATCCGTGCCCTCCTTCGCGATCTTGCGTCTCTGCCTTTCGACTCGTTCACGGATCTTCTCGGTAAGAATGACTCTTGCTCCTCGTTCTCGACGTTCTCTTCGATTCGATTCGTCGTGCTGGAGAAATAGCGGTCCCGTTTTCGGTAGAGACGACGGCTGGTGTTGATCGCGCGACTCGCCAGGCGCGTCGTCTCGTTCGGCCACGGGAGATTTTGAAGACGTTTTCTCAAATTGGAAGACGAGCTACCCTCGGAACTGCTGGTGTTTGTCACGGGATTTTCATCTTCATCTTGGTTGAGCGAGTGATCTGCACCATCAGGGTTACGTCCACTATATATTCATTAAGCGTTTAAAGGCGAACGTTAATCGCTACGATTCTTGCGCCTTCATATTTTAGATACTTCAACAAATTCTTTGTATGCACCTGCTGCTTTTACTCGACACATTCGCCACCACTATTTTGTATACAAATTGTCCGTCACAGTCCACGTTAGATTTCGAATATTCTATTTAGTGAAATATACTTATCTTCTGAAGTAGGCATTACAAAAATACAAGCGATATAGTAAATAATTTATATGATAATATCAGGTGTAAAAAATATCTTTTATTCAGTTTTTCAACGAGACCACCTATACTACGTCGCAGCGGTTTTTTAACGAGAAACTGGAGCGTTCTATGTAGAATACTGGTAGCAAACGTGTTAAAGAGTAATCCATAGGAAAATATTGTGAAGGAAATGAATCATACGAACTATATAAAGAAAAGTTAAGAAATTTTCATACCAGCAGGCGACAACAGGTTTGGAATCCTTAATTCCGAGTTCTCAAAACTCCTATCGTGGTTGCGTAACATATCGGGTCCATGGGAATTATTCTATCGATTTACAATTCACAGATAACGTTTGAAAGGTTAGCAGAACGTTTAGGTTGTCTTGAACTCAATGTTCAAAGAAAAACATAAGAA